AGGGATAACTAACCCACAGCTGGGTAGTGCCTCCAGTAGCACATGATCAGGAAAACCTACCGAATGGTGAGCCGGTGGTGTGGTCCACCCCGGGCTCGGAGCTGACGTTGGCCATTTCTAGCCTCCATCTGTAGGAGCTGCTACTCACATCTTTCCACCCACAGGAGTGCAGGTCAAAGTTACAGGACCCTGTAGGATCAGAGAAAAGATCACATAACAGTAACAGCCTTACGTGGGATTCGACCATGGTTGCCACTCTAGATCTTTAAACACCAGCTCATGAGAGCAGCGGATCCAGAAAGCGACTTGCCACAGAGCTCTTCATCCGATCCATCGGTGCAGTCACTATGGTAATCACAGATGTTCTCCTGGGAGACACATTCTTGGGAAACACACTGGAACTGTCCTTCAAGACACCTGTGAACTGCTGCTGAAACAGACAGGCCAGCAGTGCCAGGGAAAGCCCTAGTGAACAGTCTGCATTGGCTGGAATGTTTTTCAAGCAGATATGAGAACATGGTGAACTCCGTCTGATAGTCCATCATCCCTGAGTATCTGGAGAGCACGTACCTGTCACATGTAGACCCCAGAGCAGGACCTCCAGAAAGCCAAGGAAACCTGCCAGTCGAAGAACCATCATCAAACATCAGCGACAACCAATCTGTGTTGTGATCCAGAGCTCCAAGGGGTAAATGACACATCGTACCACGGACAACGTTAATGTTCAATCTTAAAATGAACACACAGCTTCCTACCTCCACTATACACATAGTTTTTTGGGAAGTTTTTTTGTAAAGTCAACAGTAGTTTTTTTGAGACAAATATAAACAGTACTGTTGAAATCAGATTGAATAGCTTGCAGTTGCTCTTTAATAAATTTGATCGGACTGGGAGAGACACAGTGTATGCAGCAAACTGTTTCACAAAGTTCCTCAGAAGTACAGCGATCTTGAGCTTCCTTTAATACTGTATTTGTTATCCTCTCTGGGTTTTGTGCACCACATTTCTTACCTGTTTCTCTGCTCCACTGCATCCTTTGGCTTTCGTCACCAGAAGTAATTACGATTCTCACCCTTCACATATTTTCGTGACATACGCAGATTCTTATCTTGGTGAAATAACTACCTAAGTCTCTATCAGAAAATATATCTTCTGTTATTCTGATATTCTATTACCACACGAATGTTTCCTTTCATGTCGGGGAATGTGGAGCATGAGACACCAGGACAGACGAACCAGAGAGTGTCACTTAAACTGCAGATTCCCACCACACACAAAATCACTGGCATATGCACAGTAACGGGCTCACAGTATCTATGGGGCAGGTAAAGTCCTGTCTTCAGACAGCCAATCATATTAATGGAGCCCTCGTTGCATGGTGCATCTCCCACTCCCACATTCAGCTGATATTGGCCAGCCCCCTCTCCTACACCCCCCAGGCCCCTGAGCTCACTCTCCCCTCATGGAGCACTGGATCTGGTGTCCGTGAGTCAGGGTAGAAATCCCAGCAGTCTGAAGCATCTTACCGAGCAGCTGGTGTGCTGACCTTCCCATGTTGGGTCAGAACGGGTCAGACAGAGGCAGGCGCAGCCCTCAGCCCACAAGGCGAGCGTCGTCCCTCCACAAAGAATCAATTAGCAGCCTAACTTATAGTCTTTATCTGGGTCTCTCTCCTGGATTACCTTATCTGTGCTGAAGCTAAAGTCCACTGTGAACTCAGCATGCCCTGCTTGGAGGACACGCCCCTGACTGCTACGACTCTTTCAACATCACTAACACAGACCCACTAACACAGACCCGCTAACGCAGACCCGCTAACACAGAACAGCTAACGCAGACCCGCTAACACAGACCCACTAACACAGACCCGCTAACACAGAACAGCTAACGCAGACCCGCTAACACAGACCCACTAACACAGACCCGCTAA